CCCATGTTACCGATACAGCGGAAGAGAAGGCTGAGCGATCGACGGTCAGCGTGGATCGTTACTGAGGATGGTACGAAAGCGGAATCTGGGTCGAAAGGGGAGATGGGCCAGGAGCGGTGAGCGACGAAGGGGTTATACGAACTCCGGAGGTGATCTAGATGATCTACGCGGGCGGGCAGTGAGAGATATCGTGGAGTCCGGAATTGGGTAAAGTCGGGGTGAGCTCGTTCTGGCTTTCGCGCTAGCATCTGATGAGTCTCCTTGCGAGGAATTTCGGTTGTCTGCTTTGGGAGTTGGATGGTAGGTGCCGGTGGTTACCGGGCTGGATTCCATCTAAGCCGAGAGTGGATAGTCAAGATGGATGCACAAATGTAACTGCTTTAATAAATGTGCAGGTGCTTGAACGCAGCAACAATTCTGCTAGATGACACGGAGGCATGAATGCAAAGACGTGAAAATTGATGCAGAATTCTATTACTATGGGGTATCGTGCAGTGCTTCAAATGGAGACTTCTAACTAAAAACGCTCATGGACCTTTGCGGCCTTTCCAGTCGATTTGCTATCGAGAGTGGAGTCGCTGGCCCCTCCAGGGCTGCCTCTCCTTTCACGCTCTGTCGTGTGTTGACGACTCTTCTCTGATTGTTGTCGTTTCTCACGTTCATCTAGGACGGTGGACGTAACGTAGCCAGGCAGCCCCTGCTGTTGCTGCCATGCTTCTGATGGTTGGCTTCTGCCCAGTATTATCTCCTCGTCAGAGCTGGCGCTCTCTCTCCGAGCTCTGGAGGTAGTGATTGTGATCGACTTCTTTATTGAAGGTTTGAGCGTGCCGAGTTGGGTTCCCGACTGCAGCGGGCCAGAGTTCAGCGATGGCTTACTCCATGGTAGAGCTGAGGCTGAGCGAGTGATCTCGAGAGCCTGCTTCATGAGCGGCCTCAGAGTCGCAATGGAACCAGCTGTTATGCCCAATCCCACCTCCACTGTGCTCCAGATCGCAAAATCGGTTGTTCGGTAGAGGAAGTCGCCCTTGTATCCCTTCAATGAGGTCGTGTACGGGAGACGGATGATCGTTGCTGTCGAACCACTATCGATATGTTAGAGACGTTATTATGCGGCTCGCGAAATACTTACATTGCGGCAAGAGCAATGACCGATGCGACTATGACTTTCATGCGCTTCTTCATGTGCAGATCCTTGACGATCAGAACCGGGAGAATCGCAAACACCCAGTCCGCAAACGCGTTGAGTCCAGAAACCACGAACGTGAAGTTCATGACTAGTGTCGCTGACAAGCAAGTGCCATGGTGATTAGGGTCCAGGTCCCACCAGAACGAGACCGGCTTGCACTGGAAGATGACGACCGATGTGTATGCGACTCCCACGATGGCAGAAACTACCATGATGAACCGAATGAGCCAGATGTGCATCGGTACGACAGTGATTCGCAGCAAGAAGAACCCGACGGCGATCTTGAGCATGCATGTCGATAATGTGTAGAATATTTCGCAGAAGAACCAGAAGTTTAGGGCCGTTTGCGCTTGTTCGTCGGTGAGTTTCTCGCGGCGAACACCTGTTCCGTGGAGCGCACCGCCGATTTGAGACACGAGATAACCGGTGAAAAAGAAAAGTGTGACGACCATGCAGTAGTCGTCAATGCCGAATCCCTTCACCATGAAGATTCTACATTCTTATCAGCGACGCGTCCAAAAACAATGAAGATAGCAAGCAGATCTTACCTGACATAGCAACGAAGCCCAACGGTGATATATGTTAAGATCAAGAAGGTGAGGGCTATAGCCAGCACCGAACCACTTCGGTCCTCCATACTCGGTGGTGTGTCGGGAGAATCGTCAAAATAAGGTTATGTAGGCGAGGGAGAGGATTGATGAGTCTGGAAAACCGCGATTCGAGTACGATCTTGCAGCATATTGTATTTCGACAAGTTCGGCCTCCCCCTCGTCGCTGATCGCGCGAACAGACGTCTCAACACTTTCTCCGAGCCGTGTGTCTCCTGGCATTGTGAACGCTAGAATACTGTTAGCAAGACCACCGACGCTGCTCTGGGTATCCTTGCGACGGTAGTCGACGCAGGTTACTGTTCGAGCCAGGTTCATTGTGGGGCAGATCCATTATGGCGAGGCAGGAAGATCGGCAACGTGCTTCGCTAAGCGTTGCCACGCGAGAAAGGGGAGTGCGAGTCGTTTGCTCGGCCATACAATGAGGCCATTCGGGCGCCAAAAGCAAACGGATCTGTCTCTAGCCTTCTACTAAATCCCCACTGATGAAAGCCTCTGGTTGCTTTTGTCAATCTGATGGTTCCAATGGTGAGGCGTGCAGCGGGAGCTTGAGTCGGGAGGAGCATTTAGCGAGTCAAATGTGTGCACGGAATCATGCAAGCGTGGACGTCACCGCGTCGAGGTGCACAATCCCATGGCGAGGAAGGAACTCCGAAGAAGCCCACTTTGCCTGAACGGGCGAAAGGAGAAAGGGCGATCATACTGCATGTCAAACTGCTTTTGGCTTGAAAGAGCAAAGGCCTTACAATATGTACAGGCATCGAAGTGCCGGTTCTCTGCGGGTCTCCAGGGTTCAGGAGCCGTTCCATAAGAGTCTGACAGCTCTCTGGCCGTCCCTGCCGCAACTTTGCGCGCGATTGCGCGTTCGTACGTGTGAGGTCTTCCTGAGGGTGCTATCCGGCGCCGTCCAAACCAGACGTTGGGAGCAAACTCTATGAGGACGGAGGATAGGGTAGGTAGCGCCTCCGTGCCGTACCGAACCACCATCTTTGTGCCCTACGAACGTTCCCCGCTCCCCGGTAGTGGCCTTCAGCTTGTAGGTGGCTTTCGTCCTCATGACTGTTGAACCCATTCCAAATTCCAGGTTTTGTCCCTACGATGGCTGATGGTGTGCGCAGAGTGAGGTGTACGCTTTCATTGGCTGGCTAACCCAAGCGAGTTGCGACAGCCTACGAAAAACGAAGAAAAGTCATACTGTGGCGCGTGGTGCTGAGTTTTTCTCTACCCAACCTTGCCACATGGCTTACGAACGACTCGTAGATTTTGCAGAATGGAATGCCTGATCTGTGTCGCGAGCGTATGATATTCCAGCGTTCCTTGTCCATTTTCGAAAAACAAGAAGGCCGGATCAGTTCACGGCTTCTGCACTAAGCCAGTATGACCGAAGTGAGACCGTTCCTGGGGGATGTACTAGATGGACTACTCAAATGCTGTAAAGACTGCTTTTGTCACAAGCAATGTGGTCGACTTTGCTTTCTTGCTCCACGTTCGAGTCGTGCCTATGGGTTTTCGCTATCCAATCCTGTTGGTCAATCTAGAGATGGTGGCGTGCAATCGATACCGGGACGGCAATGCCGTCAACGTTCGCAAATGCGGAGAACTAGGGGCCTTAGCCAAGGTGCCTGGATATAGCATGCGGAAATGGCAACGCAAAGGGTGTTAGAGCTTCCGTCGGTGCTACTACGGCGCAGGGCTGCTCCTTGGGAGTTTCACCAGTAGTGGCGGCCCACATGACTAAAATCCCGATAGCGGGACTGACCCAATAGGGCAACGACAGCCACACTCTGGGGCTAGACTCCGCGACAAAATTTACTTGTCAAAAGTTGGCAGCCAAACATACCCCAACTTCCTACCCGACTTCCGGACGTCGCTCAAATCCGATCACTGCCGAGATGCTGGTTCGAGAGGAGATTGATGGGCGCGCTCACATTTTATTCCACTCACCGCGAGCAGACTCCAAGCTTATGTCGTCCCAGGCGGGACGAAAGCACCGTTTGAATGCGCTGTCCGCCAGACGCATTGACAGCCGTTGTCTTGTGCATCCACTTTCCAAGAGAATCGGAAGAATCTGACCGATGTCGTAGGAGTAGTGAAAGAGCTGGGTTTGGTGTGCCTAATAGAAGCCATGACAGGTGCCATGATAGCTACCATTGCAAGAGTGGGGTGAAGGCTGCTCAAGGTCTCGTAGGGATGTTTCGGGCTCACGAAACATCAGATCGACGAAGATGAGTGAGCAGCCGCGACCGAGTCATTCGATGCTCCGTGACTGCGGCAAGGCCAGCGATAACCTGATCGTCGTGGACGACGGAACCCAGACGTTCATCATTGAATGTAAAGACTGTCTATCTTCAGGAGCCGTGCGACGAGTACTAGAAGTAAAAGATGGTCGTAGAAGATGGTGCCGGAGAAGTATAGCCATAGCCATTGATCCGTTCTGTACAACGCGAGGCAGAACAGAAGAAGCTTGAGCCGAGTACTTGGTACTCGGAACTTACTGCGACGAGCATGCGCAAAAAGAAGCGCATGGAAATGACACGTTGCAGTGAGAGGGAGTCTCATCGCGTCGGATGCTAGGAGTGTCGGACTGCTCACCCGGTAACCTGGTTCTTTCTTGCCGCCGCACATTGCTTTTATTCGACGCTTGTCTTGACCTACTACAACTGCGGACTCAAAACCGGGCTCCCGGTGGGCGTTTGGTTGTGAGAAGCACGGCAAAGGGGCGGGCACCTGCTTGTATAAGTCAAGCTCTCTTTGCGCCGAGCAAACACCGGGTAAATGCCCCGCATGAAACCTCCATCTGGAGCCCCGTGATCAAGTGCAATATATTTGAGCAAATAGCAATCTCTCAAATAGATTATCGAAGGTTCTCTGCATGTTCTTCCGGACCGTTCTGCGCTGTCAAGATCTTGCAGCGAGGGTTCGAAACAAATGCGACCTTGACAATAGGGCCGAGGCAGAGCTTGCGACCAATAGCAGGAACAGCCGCCAAATTCACTGACGATGTTTACTAAATGGAGGCTCCAAGACATTGCGGCTCTCATATCCTGTAATATCTTGAAATTGATACATGCATGCAGTCCATTAGTACAGGAACAGCCCGCGGCTTCAACTGGTCGTCAACGGAGCTATAAAGAGGCTCGCAGCTCGCTCTTCTCCGTATTCTGCAACTGCGTCTCTCAAGTTTACGCCTAGTCAATCGTTATACAATGGCTCCTTACGCCCTCATCGCGGCTACCCTTTTGGGTCTTGCCACTGCGCAAACACCAGGATCGACACCAGAAGTGCACCCCAAGCTCAACACTTGGAAGTGCACCAAAGCGGGAGGATGCAAAGAGCAGAGCACAGCTATTGTCGTCGACTCAGCTTCCCATTACATCCATCAAAAGGGCAACTCTACACTCGGCTGTGGAAACTGGGGTAGTGCAGCCGACCCGGTTGCGTGCCCGGATGAGGAAACATGTGCGAAGAACTGCATCATGGAAGGCATCGAAGATTACTCCACAATGGGCGTCTACACTACCGGAGGCGAGCTTCGTCTGGACATGTTCAACCCCAGTGGCGGCCAAGCTAGCCCTAGGGTCTACCTCTTGGCCGAGGACGAGGAGAACTACGAGATGCTTCAACTGACCGGTAACGAGCTGGCTTTCGACGTCGACGTATCGAAGCTGCCATGCGGCATGAACGGCGCCCTTTACCTCAGCGAGATGGAGGCTGATGGTGGACGTTCTCAACTGAACCCAGGTGGCGCCGCCTATGGCACGGGATACTGTGATGCTCAGTGCTTCGTCACACCATGGATCAACGGTGTAGTAAGTACAAGCTGTCTTCTCCCTCAGTACTCATGCTTATTCGTTCCAGGGAAACGTCAAGGGTCAAGGTGTTTGCTGCAACGAAATGGATATCTGGGAGGCAAACGCTCGCTCTAACCAGATCGCACCTCATACCTGCAGTACCGATGGTCTCTTTGGCTGCACAGGCGATGAGTGTGGCAAGGCTGGATTGTGCGACAAGAACGGATGCGGAGACAACCCCTACAAGCACCGAAGCTCTCCCGACTACTACGGTACTGGCCTTAAAGTCGACACCACGAAGCCTTTCACCGTCATCACCCAGTTCCCCGCCAAGGACGGCGTTCTCCAGGCCATTGTCCGCAAGTACGTCCAGGACGGCGTCGTCATTGAGAACGCCAGGAAGGAGATCATTATGGACCAGGAGTTCTGCAGTGCTCAAGCTGGTGCTGAGATGTACAGCAAGCTTGGTGGCCACAAGGGCATGGGTGATGCTCTGGCCCGCGGTATGGTTCTCGCGCTGAGCATCTGGTGGGATGAGAGCGGTGCCATGCAGTGGCTTGACGGCTCAGAGTCCGGATCCGGACCATGCAATGCGACTGAAGGCTTCCCTAAGGCGATCCAACAGATTGAGAAGGCACCCACAGTTACCTTCAGCCAGATCAAGTGGGGTGAGATTGGATCCACATTCGCTGGTTCAAACTCCACCATGCGCCGTTGGAATGCGTAGGTAGTGAGCTCTCAAGCTAGCTGTAAATATAAGAATGAGCTCTTCTGTCAAGCAACGAGCCCACAAACGTGTTGACATGTGATGGCGGTGAATTATTGTGCGTTTGTCGAAGTCGCCATGATGTGTTGGCGGGCGTGTGATTTTGTGACCTAGATCTGCCGCGATCATCATCGAGATCGTCACCGTATGATCAGGCATGAAGATGGTGACTGTGAGCCCTACCAGTGCGCGTGTTGGGGTCCGAACACGCGTGCGCGCATGACGTGTGATGATTGACAAACTCCCCTGACGCGGGGCTGGCGTGTGGCCGATACGGAAAGCACTAGACCCCTTTCGTCATTACTACGTCAACACCAGCGGACGGCATTACGGTCTTCCGGCCATGAATCTTTGCAGTAACGACAAGCATTGCACCCTCTGGCTGTAGAGCTGTATGTCTCTTCGCTTATTCGCAAAGACTGTCGTGCGCACAAGCCCCCGGTTTGGTCGGCTAGCTGGCAAGAGCTCACAAGTCGACTTTCGCACACCATGTATCGGTGCTGTCTACGGTTTTATCTCAGCGATGGATTGATGATTGTGCTGATTCTATTTGACAAGTTGCGTATAACTGTAAGCGATGGAGCAAGATGTGTGGGACCAAGCAATCGCTCCTACAATTTTACTTAACAACAAGCAAGCGTCCACACATGGCCTGCTACCGCCATCATCCACAGTTTATCTACACACCCAAAGCAAGCTCTTCCACGAATATTTTCAGACCATGTCAGCGACCAATAGATCTGATTCTGGCAAGCAATCGGAATTGGACACTGAATCCACAAAGTCAGGGTCGACGATGGCATCTACCAAGTCTCTTCTTCGATCTCTGCTTCCTCGTAAGCAGTCAAAAGACACTCGTGAGACGAGGAACACGAGATCACCAACCGACACGGCGCAAGGCGAATTGAACAGGGCCGAGGCTTTAGTCTTCTGCGCAATACATAAGTAGGAAGGCACTCAACTGACCATGAATGTTCGGTTTATAAACATCACACATACTCAGTAAGCTTTCTTCTGATCTTTTGCGACACGTAGCTCCTCGTTCTGCTCACCTTTACAAATCGCGCAGAGGCCTCATAGACTATTCCCAATTATAGGACTTTCGCAATATGTTGAGTCGCAATGCAGAATCTAGATCTAGACGCACCAATGCGATTCTGATCGCAAACGCTAAGTGTTTGCGCACGAGACTTAGTGAATTTCTTTCCAAGTCTGCTCCTTTTCTGACCTATCATTGACCACAGGCGCTTGGCTTGTAATTTCATCATAGAGCGAGACCCCGCTACCGCATGGCGTGATGATCATGGCCATATTCACTGGGAGCCCTTCACGTTCCAGGCATTGCTCGCACACCGTTTGCGACGCGCGAGGTACGTGCCTTAGGCTGCGCGGTATCGCATCCAGTTTACATCAGGCATTTATCCTTGGCCCATTGTATGGTACCAAGTACATCAGGCCTGTCGGTTTCTTCCTCTCTGTCTCCCGCAATCTACACCATACGAAAGAACGCAAGTATGTCTGTTGTAAATTTCGGATCCGACATCGAGTTTGTCGAAGGCGATAATCAGTAAGTTGCTTTGAAGGTGTTCAGGCTATTGTCGCCGGCAGCGCGTATGATCACGATCACTGTTGCAGTCTGATGGTCCATTGTAGCCACCTGCGTTGATCATAGCACTGGACGTAATCGGGTGTTATAGAACTGAAGCTAACAGGCTCTTTTTATTAGGCTATCGACGTCTCCTGCTAGCGCGAGCGATTTGGCTGAAGATGAACAAGTCATTGTACCAGACATCGGCTTCTCGGGCGAAGAAAGCGGCGACGATGTGTTCTTCTATGACGCTGCTGGAGAAAACACGATGTTTCGCCGAGGTAAGAAGCGATTCAACAAGGATGGAGTGAAGAAAGGAACGATCAAGACTGCACGGGGCAGTAAGATCACGAGCGCCAGTGGCCCACTCTCTCACCTGAGCACCGCCGCGGAGAGCCTAAGTGAGTCTAGTAAGACACAGTTATACTGAATAGTACTTATACTTCTCAGGCAGCTACCAATTTCCTTCTTCCCAAACGCTCCATCCCTCAGTCACGCCAACCAGTAACCGAGCGGAATCTCCATTGTTTGAACCTGAAGACGGAGAAGCTTCTGACCACGCCTTCCCTGCCCAAGGAAGTACATTTTTCAATCGCCCGAGAGCCCAAGGCCCATACAAATATAGCGTCATGGATGGACTCAAGCGCGCAAAAGCCACCAAGGCGGAGGTCGAGAACAACATCTCCGTACTCATGCCTCAGAACAAGAAAACCAGCACTCGCCCCCTCGTCAAAGAAGACCCCGAAAACATCCTCATCAAGACCCTCCGCCAAGATCAAAAGCTACTCTGGAGCGAAATCGCCAGCCACCTCAACCAAGAGCGCCTCTCCAAAGGCGAACCGGCAACCTTCACCGACGCCGCAGTCTACAGCCGCTTCGTCCGCAACGCGCCCCGCATCGCCACCTCCGTCGGCGAAATCGGCTTCGACCCCAAAGACTACATGCACCTGCGCAACCCAAACCAGTACTCCAACGCGGAAGGAACAGGTGTTCTTAGCAAGGCGGGCAAGAAGCGCATCAAGGACTTCAACAACGCGACGGAGCTCAAGGACAACTTGCGCCATGCCGTTCCCTCAGAGGTACACGAGAATGATTTGGAGACGCCGCAGATGACGGAGCAGCTCATGGATGCGGTGGCGAAGTGTGAGCGCAACTTTTGGAAGTATGTCGCGGATGAGTTGGAGAGGGCGACTGCGAAGATGTATGATGCTGAGAAGCTTGCGGAGCGCTATCATGCTATTTGAGGTGGTTGGGAAGTTTTGGTCTCTCAGATGGAGGGTAGATTAGGCGTATGGTTGGTTTTGGAGGTACCGGTGTAAGCGAGACGCTCGATCGGATTCGGAGATGAGCAGTCGGTTGGTGTCATGCTAGGAGGTACCTACGAGTTTGTTACTTCAGTGGTAAATTGATCTTCGTGGTCAATTTCCAGGGTATTGAGAACGAAAAGACAAAAGTTAATACATCAATATCTCATTTGTGTAAGCCATTTTGCCAAAGTGAAAGTTTCCTTGGTTCATCAAAAGGTGAACTCTATGCACATCGTAATATTCGCAAACTGATCCTGTCTACAAAACACCTATTTACATCTACATCGAAGTAGCCTCCAAGCTTTGCTCCACGCAAGCATATACGCTTCTAGCGCAAACCCTTTGCATCTAGCATGTGAAAGTAGGCGGGCCGGGGTTGGTGTAGCTTGTAGGAATAGGGTAGTTGATGTTGATCTGGATACCCGGGTCGGTAGCCTTGTACGCGCCAGGGAACGCGACGAGGTTCGAGGGCGCCTTGCTGCCGCCGCCAGTAACCTCAATCTGTGCGCAAGACAGGTAGAACTGGGCTCCGCCTACGCTCTGAGCAGTGTGGATGGCGATGTGCTCGTTGCGCATCAGGTATTTTCCAGGTGCAATGCACTGAGGGATCTTGATGTCGTAGGTGGCAGCGCCTGCGCGAAACAGTGTTAATATATGCCAGCAGAGCGAAAGCGTTAGGGAATACATACTCAGCCAGGTCAACTGGGAACCGAACTTGGGCTGTTCGGCGTAGATTCGGAACCAGACGGCGCCGGTAGGGTCCCAGGTGTTGATATCTGCGCCCTCTGGTACTTTGGCAAGGTACGACTGGAAGGGACCTGGGTGGTAAGCGTTCGGGTTGACGCTGACCTTTACGTTCGAGCCAGCAGCAACAGTGGTGGTCGCTGTTCCTGCTTTAAGCTGGTTGCAGCGGATGTCGTTGCTTTGCACGTTGCCGACGAATCCATTGTCCTGCCAGTTCTTGGCTTGACGAACACTAGTCCAGGCTCCGGCACCGTTGATGCTTGGGAGTGTGTCTTTGAGAGGTCAGCTAGTTTCTGCGGACGGCGTGCAGTGCATCGGGACGTACAGTGAGCGCTGGCGACAGACGCAGTAGCTGCTAGCAAAACAACGGAGGACTTCATCTTGGCGGGGATCTTTGGCTGAACTTGGAGATGAGATGCAATGAATATGCAGTTGGTGCCGGCATATCAACATCTCCCGAGCGTCATATATACTCAGTCTCTTGCCCCGGGCTGGCTCGTTCGTTACGAGACACCCACCGGCAATAAGGTCGAAAGAGCCGTACCCATCGCGAAAGACCCGAACATTGAGCGCGAATTGGTTGTAAGCGAAGGTGTACAAGACGATGTGAGTGTTGCATAGATTACGAGTGATGAAGATAATCTATTTGGTGTGCGAGGCGGCTACCAGTCGTACAACGCTAGCGACGGATGCCGCTGCCGATTTTAATTGTGGCCAATGGCAGCACCGAGCTTGCTTGAAATGTCTAAATTGCCTACGTCAACGCCATGGATCAGGCAATATACAATTTACGAGATGCGATCACACGAGTACAGATTTCTGGCCTGTCTCTCCACATCGGGTAGACACAGCCTCAAAGACAAGGCGGTTGCCAACTCCGGATGTCGAACATCGCTAAGGCTCACGGTGAGAACTCAACATTTGCATGCTGGAGATAAAATTTAGGAGCATCATGTATTTTTTCTTGCTCTATGGGAAAGACTAGATAGCTACTTGGTAAGCGTCCATCGGAACGCGAGTTCTACACACGCTCCCTCGCCTCCGCGTCCTCACTATCGTGCCTCGCACTGTACTTGCCATCATCTGCACCAGTCACAACATTCATATCCTCGTCGGCAGCCACATCGAAGCTTCTACCTCGATATTCTGGTCCCAAGGCTGTGAGCAGGATCACGTATGCATACACGCATCCCATGAAAATGCAGATCACCAAACCATATTTGTAACGGGTTGTCTTGCCTTTCGGTGGAAGTGGAAACCTCTCGCCAATAGTCGCTTCGATAGTCGATGAGGCAGAAGAAGCAAGGTTCCCGAGTTGATAAGATGTACCGACGACAAAGGTGCGGAACGATCCTGGCGAGAGTTCCATGAGGTGGATAGGGATGACGCCCCAAGCACCTTGGACGCAGAATTGTTGGAAGAAGGCTGCGGCGATGACGGCGTTCGTGGAGACGAATGTGTAGGGATAGAGTAGAGCGCCGCCGATAACGCACATGACGATGATGCTGATACGGCGACCGAAAATGGATGAGCAATAACCGACTACGGTACCGCCAGTCATGGCGCCGAGGTTGGCGACGACCTGTGTGACGGTGACCTGGTTAGGGGAAAAGTTGTACTGGTTACTCAGCATGGTCGGGTACAGGTCCTGGCTTCCGTGCGACATGAAGTTGAAGCCCGCCATGAGCAAGACAAGATACACCAGCAAAAGCCAATGGCGCTTCAACGCAACCTTGCCTTCCTGAGCAAAGACCTTGGCTGCGTTGGGTTGTTCTTCGCGTATTCGCTTGCGCTCAAGGTAAGCGTTCGTTTCTGGGAGGCAGAGACGGAAGATAATGAACAAAACTGGTGGGCCTGCACCAAACCAGAACAACGGTCGCCATTCGTGACCGACGGTGTTGACGAACGCGCGTGCAAATACGGTGGCTAGGAGGTACCCGAATGCATAGCCCTGTTGTAGCATACCGGAGATGATACCACGGGCCTGCTCGGGGCAGTCTTCAAGGGCTGTGACAGTGTCAGCTATCTAAATGACGCGGGGGTGGGAAGGAAGACTTACCAGTGGCAGCAGCATTTCCATACAGTCCACCCATGGCGATACCGAACAAAGCCCTCACTCCCAAAAACTCGTTGTAGGTCGAGCAGAACCCTGTGCCCAGCTCCAACACGATGAAGAGTAGATTGTTGATGATAAAAGGCCACTTCCTTCCATACCGATCAGCCGCCAAACCAAAGATGATACTACCCACACTTCGCAGCATGAGGACCAATGTAATACCCCATGTGATATCCGCCTTGGTTTTACCAAAGGTTTCGGCAAGATCTTCCACGGTGAGGGAAACGGTGAAGAAGTCGAACGCGTCCCAGGTCCAGGCGACAAAAGCGACGAGGAAGAAGAGCCATTGCTGGAGATTCAGCATACGCAGGAGCGCGATGGGGTTGGCGACCTTGTCGTGGGCAGGCTTGAGAGTAGGGATGCGCGTTGCCATGTAGCGACCGGCCGACATCTTTGCGGCCGGTGGCGCGAACTCGCGCTGCTCTGTAGTGTCGTATTTCTCGTCCGACATTGTGAATTGAGGACAACCCGCGGGCAACTTCAGAACGCGAAGCGTGAGGGGAAGTGCAGTCTTCTTTCTCTGAACGAGATCGACAGACTGTTGAGCTTACAAGAGCTTATAAGACACCGCGGGCGCGACGCTTTCTTTAATCCCACTAGACATGGACGCGATCATCGTTCAACCTTCCGGAAACGATGTCACAGATAACCAGTGCGACCCGAGAATGCATCTTCGACATCCTCATGACGTCCCCGCAACCCCGCATGTTGACCTGCCATCCAATGGCACCCCCGCGGAGAGCGGCACGATAGACCAGAGTTGGCTAGCAGGCGACATGGGATGGAGCACACGACAGGGGCTACTGCGTGCTAAGAGTGGTCAAGAGGTGATAAGCGTCGCTTGGCTTGGAAAAGACGGCACAGCGAAGCTTTGTTGAAAGACGCCGAAAAGCTTGGTCGACGTCAAAGGCTTGGGGCGCCAACGGTCTGAACGCGCTGCACTCAGACATCCGCGGACTGTTGGAGATCAGTCAAGGCTGCGGGCTCGCAGTCGATACGACATATATTGATGATACTGTTTGTGAAACTTGGTTTCGTGAGCTGGTTCTAGCTTATAACACGTACCGGCGTTGGGTTGTAAGGATGTTCCAAAGTGGAGTGAAGACGCGGTGCTGTACCCAGGGTAGCGCGTCCACCGGCTTATCCCCGTATCTGGGGATCTCTGAACACGGCATGCTCGAATCTTAGTCACGGCAGCATTGATTATGACTGCGAGATTGAAGCAGCCCTGCATAAGAGCGCATCTAACGATTGCATCATCTCAAATGTGATTGGAAATGGGAACCAGAAAATAGGCGTTGGGGCTAGACACCGGTTGCAGGATACCATACTCAGCCGACGCCCTGGAGGCAGATCTAGCTCCGATGTTCGCGACCGGGTCGTCGCTCGGCAAAGTTGCTGGACGCCTGGCAGACTTCCAAACAGTCAGAGGTTCTGACACAGGAAACTGGAAAATGACCATGCTTTTCATATTGATACCGAGACTGCAGTTCGTTGCCCAAAGCTAAAAGGAAGATACAAGAAGTCTAATCGCAGTAAAACGCTCATACACGCCAATTTCGAAATGCAATGCTCGCGAACTGTTGTTCGTTGCGAATAGGCCAAAAGGTTACATGCGTCGTTGCAGTGACTCAAGCTCTGCTTGAGACAGCCCGGGAGCTCTCCGCAGAGCTTGCCCATTCTTCCGTGAGTCGCTCCAGTTCGGTCATGCGAAGCGCCTCCTCGACACTCTGGACAAAGTGTCTTGGACCTCCACACATCTCGATAATACCGCTCTTGTCGAATAGCTGGTAGACGGGACTGGACTCTTGCGGCACCCTGCAGAAAAAGACTCTGACATCCCGCTTCCTGTAGGACTCTACAATCTCAGCCAGGACCTGGGCGCCAGCACCATCGAGCGATGTGACACCGTGAACATCAAAGATGACGTTCTTGTTGTGTTCTGCACGGCGAACGCGCGGTAGAGCAGGGTGCGCGTTCTCCGTACCATGGTCCTCGAGGCGGCGCAGACGGGTTTTCAGGTTGCCGGTGTTGGCAAATGTCAGAGGCTCGGGGATCTTGACGATCAGGCACCCTTCAATGAATTCGACATCTCCGGGGTGATGTTCCGCGTTTGAAAATTGGTTAGTAGTTCCAGGCACGCGGCCTAAAATCTGAATGCGTGGGCGAACCGAATGACGGATCAGCCGCAGGATAGAGAGACCGATACCGACACCAATACCACGTTTCAGATCCCACACGATGGTGATGAAGAAGATGAGACCCATGAGGACCAACTCTGACCAGCCACGGATCTTGAGGAAAAACTTGACATCATGTGGCGCCTCCTCCACGAGCGAATATGCTACGACTGAGACCATGGCGCAAAGAACGCCTTTGGGTAGGTAGTAGAAATATGGCAGCATGAAGACGGTACACAGAATAGTGATGATGGACAACAAGACTGAACTCATTGGCGTCAACCCACCAGTGGATGCATTGACCTTGGAGCGACCGTAGCCACCAAAGGCTGGAAGCGCCATGAACAGCCCACCTGTAATGTTTGCAGTACCCAGAGCGATGAGCTCGCGGTTCGCGCTTAATGGCATCTGGACGCCTTCCTTGGTGTGGTCACCGCTGCCCAGCGACTTGGCAGCAACGGAAGACTCGAAGAAGCCCAACATAGCAATAATCAATGCCGTGTTGATGGCGTCAGATACATACTTCAGGTGCGAGGTCTCGAAAGGGAAGTGTACGGTAAATAGTTTGGCGCTGGAGTTGACCTCTCCTAGGACAGCGAGGCCTTGTTGGTCCAGACGATATCTCCAGGTAAGCACAGCAGATAGCACGACAACGACAAATCGGTCTGGGATGTAGGCAACATTAGGGTATCGTGGTTGCAGTCGCTTCTTGAACTCTCTGCAGGTTTGTTAGTGAGCCCAACATGAAGATTGTGTCTCGCAACATACCGAAAGAACATGATGATGAAAAATGCAGTGAAGGACATGGCACATGTGAGTCCATGGGCGCGTCCGACATTGCGAAAGAGAAAGACGACTTTGTCCAAGCAACTGCCGTGAGACACTTGATCAGCAGCCAGTCGTGCGAGCCCCATCTGGGGAATGAGTTGGTCTACAAAGATGACTACGCCGATGGCGCTGATGAAGCCTCGCAAGAAGGGCCGGCTCAGCACATTGTCAAGGAAACCGAGTCGGAAGAAGCCTGTGATCAGGATAAAGGCACCAGCCATGCACGTCACGATGCCAGCGATCTCGGCATTACGTCTACCGTCGTTGTCGCCGGTAGTACCCTTCTTGATATTCTCACGCACGATCTCGCCGATGAGCAGCGAGCCAGGCGCCTCGGGACCAACAATCATCTGCGGACAGGTGCCCAGCACCGCATATATGAGAGGGTTCAGGGCGAAGCTGTAGAGGCCGTGGACGGGCGGCAGGTGGGCGAGGTTGGAGGCATAGGAGAGAGCCATGGGAATGTAGAACGAGGCCATGGTGATGGCTGCGATGAGGTCGCCCTTGAAGTAGCGCCACTTGTACTGCTGCGTCCAGTTGAGGACGGGAATGTAGTACTTGAGGTACATCATGCGCTTGTCCTTGATGCCATGGCGCTCAGCGAGCCAGCGCGTCGTGCTCATCTTCTGCCCGTTCCCCTTGTTCAGCACGCCGTCTGCAAAGGCGTCGCCCAGGAGAGCGTGTGCCTCGTCGGGCGCATCGCCCTCTGCCGTCTCGCGGATGCCAGGGAAGGTGCCACCGAAGCTCTGCTCCGAGTGGATGCTACCCGCGAAGCTGCCATAGTTGCGATGTGCCGCCGGCCTTCCCTCGGCCCGGTTGAAGGTGCCCCAGTCCTGCTGGTTCAGCAGGCGCGTGCGCACCGTGGGCTCGAGGTCGATCTCGATGATGCCGCCGGGGGGAGCGACTTCCTCATGGGTTGAGTGTACTGACGTCGCATCCGTCGCCGGGTGGATGCCGTCGGTGGAGAACTCGAGGTCGTGGGGCGCAGCGCTGCTCGACGGCTGGGGCTCTTCGTCGTCGTGATAGCGGCGGGGACGCATGGTTTCCTCAGGCGAGCTGGACCTGTCCGAGGGCGCATGAGCCTGGCGGAGCTGGCTGGGCGTCGAAGGCGCGTGTGCGTGCCGGGCACTGGCATTGGAAGAGTCGCGCGAATGCGAAGCCATGCTGCGCGATAGTGATAGTGATATCGAGGTGCAAGCACCAGCGAATCGGAGGCGAGGTAATAGCCGTACTATGGACGGCGACGCGGGTGCGAGCAGCTTTTCGCAGCAGCAACCATAGCGCTCCCGAGGCAGAACAGACGAGAGAAAAGCATGGACGTCGTGGTGCAGCGTATTTTCCACGCCGGCAGAGGATCCCACCTAGCTTGCTCAGTCCAGCGCCGCCGGCCGTCGAGCAATGCACGTGCGAGATGCTGCAGTGTCATCCAGACCGCCGCCCCACTACTGGTCAGATATGTCTCAAGCCTCACGTCGCGGCTGTGGCTATGTCATCGCACGTCTCTATGGGCCAACGGTGCAGCCCTGCAGTAGCGCCGTTCTCGGAGCTCGAATTTGGAGTCCCGGCGAAAAAGGCCATGGAGTCATCGTGGGCTTCAGTCCGCGCCGACTATTCCCCACACTCCGAGATCCGATACCTCATAAGTAGAGCACATTTAGAGACGGCATTGAATTGAGCACTCTTTTTTAACATCCAAAGACGTCCAGTCATCTACCACACACCATGTCGTTCCCTACACTACACGCCCGCGCAGAGGCCAAACCGCTTGAGCACCGTTCGTGGTGAGTACACTAGACCATTTTCATGTATATACTGTACTAACAGAATTCCAGCCTCACTCCTACTACCACCAAGAAGCTGCTCGATGCTGGCTACCCCGTCGTCGTCGAGCGCTCGCCCAAGGACCCCAACTACGCCCGCATCTTCAAAGACGAGGAGTTTGAGCAGGCAGGCGCGACCCTCATCGAGGAAGGCGCATACAAGAACGCGCCCAAGGACGACCGCATCATCATCGGACTGAAGGAACTACCCGAAGACAAGTTCCCGCTCGAGCACACCTTCGTACACTTTGCGCATTGCTACAAGCAGCAGGGCGGCTGGGAGAACGTCCTCGCGAGGTTTCCCCGTGGTGGAGGCACCCTGTACGACCTCGAGTTCCTGCAGGATGAATCAGGCAGGCGCGTTGCGGCCTTTGGCTACCACGCGGGCTTCGTCGGCGCTGCCCTGGCCATCAAGGTTAGTCCAGTCAACTACTGCACTGCCACCATACTGACATCTGCTAGACCTGGGCATGGCAACTCACCCACCCCAAAGGCGAGCCCCTTCCCGGCCTAGAAACCTTCACCGAAGGACGGGGATACTACAACAACGAGAGCGAGCTGATCGCCCAGCTCAAGGACGATGTTGCCGCTGGTGAGAAGGTTGCTGGTCACAAGCCCACCAGCCTGGTACTGGGTGCTCTCGGACGATGCGGCTCCGGCGCTGTCGACCTGCTGGAGAAGATTGGCTGCCCAGAGATCAAGAAGTGGGATCTGGCTGAGACCAAGGAGCGCGACGGCCCCTACCCCGAGATCGTGGAGTCTGACATCTTCGTCAACTGCATCTACCTCTCCAAACCCATCCCGCCCTTTGTGAACAAGGAGAGCCTCAAGTCACCAACCCGCAGGCTCAGCGTCGTCTGCGATGTCTCATGCGACACCACCAACCCACACAACCCCATTCCCATCTACGATATTAACACCACCTTCGACAAGCCCACAGTTGAGGTCTCTGTTGAGGGTGACGGCCCGAGGTTGTCCGTCATCTCCATTGACCACCTTCCGTCTGCGCTACCCCGCGAGTCCTCAGAGGCCTTCAGCAACGCTCTGCTGCCCAGCCTCATGGCCCTCAAGGACCGAGCATCTACACCAGTATGGCAAGGCGCAGAGAAGCTGTTCCAGGAGAAGGTCCAGACGCTACCAGGCGGTGTCCCCAAGAAGGAAGTATAGGAACTCTCGCGTGTGGCATCCTCAATGCTGATATGAAGTTACGAAAATGAAGAATAGAAAAGAATCATCATATGCATGGCACGGCCAACAACATTCTAAATGGTTGTCAGGTCATTGATGATTACTGTGCTAATAAAACTTACATTCCTCGAAGTCTTGTCAAATCTGTTACAAGGACTACAACGAGGCTGTTTCTACTCAATGGATCGGTCATATGGTATACAGACCTTCCTACGAGCCTCCCCTGTCAGCAGAGACGATGAAATCCGAGCCATCACTGAAATCGGCTCACCGCAAAGAATCGATGCGTATAAGAACACGCCGTCTTCTGTAGTAGGAATCACCGTAGAGGTTGTCTGATTGAATTCGTGATCGTAGCTGGGTGCGCTAGTTTCCCGCCTTTGCGGCGCCAATGCGATCTATGCATCCTGCACCTGGTGGCACATTAACCACACTACTCGATTTATCTGACAAGTCCTTGTAGCATGCTTCATAATTCATGTCGTCTTTGCGAAAGTATGTCTTTGTCGATTACCCACGATGGCTCTGTTTGATCGGAGCCTTGGCAAGTAAGACAGCCTGACGCGTCATATGAGGATCAACACGCGAGTAAGACCGGGACGGCCCTCTTCAACAACGTGCCTCTCACGCCGAGACACACTCCATCAACGAATCGCGGCGCGCAAAGAGCGAGATAATAGCAAATCGCATCTTTAACATTCGTGTGAGTGCTTGCAATGCGCCGCAGACCGGGTGTAATGTTCGCGCGGCCAACCGTGTCAGAAGCGCTCTCACCGCTGCCCAGAATGTGTGTATTTTCCCCGACGTCAGACGTGACGAACCTCTTATCTCATTCCAAGCCCTGGAGCGATACCGAACCACCAGTACACTTTTATGAGAGTCGCTTGCATGTACATTGGATAGATCACGATGACAACTGTAAGTATAAAGTCCACGGTTGCCTGCCACCGCGGTCATGCTAGAAGAGCCGACCACCACGGCATGAACCTGAACTGCCATCGCCGGATGCACAGCCGCATGGCTTTCCAAACACCCGTCTCTTTTTTGCGACTTTTGCGACCAATAATTAGAGGGCGGCTGCTTATTTCCTATTTTGAAACATCAATCTGACTACACCAACACCTTTTGGAACCTAAAAAAAAAATTAAACCTAAACACCCGTCTAGGCGTTGCGGCATGTCAGATTGACTCGGCCCTAATCAAGCCACCAAAGGAACGGCTTATAACACCGTCTTACCTCATCTTCAAACATCGACCTGTCATCTCATCATTCCACGTTTCCCACACCAACCTGGCCTTCCAAGTATCTCAATCATACAACCTCAGTAGCAAGATACGCGCTCGCGTTATTACCATGTGGAATCAGCTTCGCTCCTCCTTCGGCTTCCTAAAACCGCCAGAGTCCATGCATCGATACATGCCTGTCGGCCAGGTCTCCGCGACACGTTCCCGCACCCGTCTCGCTATCATAACGACAGCCTGCATCATCATCGCTCTCGCTATCCTCTCAATATCTACTCATCCCCTGGAGAAGGCGAGGCAGTATGGGATACTCAAGTCTAGCGAGGCGTCCATGCATGACCCCATACCCAGCATCGTACATTATGTGCAAATAAAAAAGGACGCAACATCAACCCTGAGATTCCCGTTCTCGAGCTTCCTGACCATGTGCGCCGCAGTCATGTACATTGAACCGACGCAGATCTACATGCATACCGACTTCAACGACTCCGAGATTAGGAATGCCAGCGAGCACGGTGACCGGTGGACTAAGGCAGTCATCAATACTTTCGCAAATATCACCACCTGGAACCGAGTAGATGTGCCCAACTTTGCCGGCCAAAACCAGGACCAGGAAATCTCCGCCATCCAGCACAAGTCAGACTTCATCCGCTGGGAGGCCATCGCGAAAATTGGCGGGATCTATATGGATTGGGACGTTGTGCCTCTGCGACCTCTGACGCCTCTGCTCAACGCTGGCTTTGCCTTCATCGGCGGCCGACATTATGGCGGCGCGCGCGAAGGCGGTGGCATCAACGGCACCATCAACAACGGTGTCTTCTTGACCAAGCCAAACAGCACAATGGCGCGAATCGTCGTGCGCGAGCAACATGCCGGCTTCGACGGTAGATGGGAAGCAAATCTACAGAGCATGACCAGAATCGCCGAGCGTCTCGTCCCAATCCCGAACGAAGTCCTGATACTTGACCGCACCGCTTTTGCCCCCACACACTGGTTTAAAGAGAGCACTGACCCTCTCTTCAAACCCAACGAAGGCAATCCATCGCCTGTTCCTCAGCTTATCAACTCCACCGACCCAATGGAGCTGTACGACAATGCCATTGCAAATCGACGAAGGCGTGCGCAATGGGAAATGGACTTTTCTTCGACATACATGCTCCATGGATTCGCCATGCATGAGTACTACAAGTACATCAATCCGAGCACTATCTTGAGCAGGACCAGCAACTTTGGAGTCGCGACATACGATATCGTGAGACATATGGTGGACAAGGGTTATATTAGCGGGAACGAAGGGGATGACCGCACCAAATCATGACAGGCACATACTGTCTTGTGTTGTAGATTTCATTACTTTCCTGTAAAATAGACAAGGTCGTGGCCTGTAGCCACCGGATCAAGACCCCTTTTAGACATCCACAACCGATTCGTGGTTTTCACTCGTGATGCTACACCATCGCTGCAAAACCGCATCTGTTGATTGCCTTGATGCCCCGCACCCATACTTAATAGGGCTACATCCTTATCGCATGTAACAGTCTATGCTTACGTACAACAAGGTCATTGTAATCTCTTTGCTTATCGGCCTTGTAACGCGACAGTAGACATTCCTTCTTAGCTTGTTAATAAAGGCGAGCATGTAATACCTAGAATTGTGTTCGCGTATGCAGGCGTACCTGAAGAGTTATTAAGGTAAAAGAGAAACAGCGTAGAGATAGAGAGACAGATGTTAAAAGGTATAGATAATAGTATACTATAGTTTATAAATAGGCTTTTTACGTAAGATAACTTAGTATCTAATTAGTTTCTATTATATACTATAGATATTACTATATATTAGTAGAACTTACTTAATATCTATACTTCTATAAGATACTTAAAAAAATATAACTATTAATAGTTCTAGTAAGTACTATATTACTAGTAAAATAAACTCTAATAGTATAAAAAATAGTAGTAGTTATAAATATAAAAGAAAGGTTATAAAATCTACTTTAATACTATATCTAATAATTATAATTTTAGAAGAGAAATTAGAATAAGTAAAAGTAATATAATAATAATAAAGTTATATAGTAAAGCTCTAGTAAGTAAGATAGAGTAACTATTAAGAGATAGGTTTTATACTTATTAGTATCTAAAAACCTTATATTTAGTTTAAAGAACTAATATAGTATTAAGTATTTAATTTTAGCTACTTTAATAAAACTTAAAACTTTAAGAAGTAACTTAAAAAATAAAAAAAATATACTTTTACTAAAATCTTAGTATATTTACTCTAACTATATACTTTTATTTAATTAACTTTTTTAATTATAGTCTTTTAAGTATATATAATTATATAATAATTCTATTAGAAATTAGTACTAATATTTTTTTAATAAGTATCTAAGTATTAGATTAATCTAATAACTAGTCTAAATTTAAAAGCTTTAACTTTGTTAAATTTTAAGTAATAAAACTTAAAGTTTTAGTCTACTTACTTTTAAAATAGATTAAACATTTTATTATAGATATAAACTAGTAATAGACTTTACTTTTATAGAGTTATTTTTTAGTTTATAGAATTTTTAGTCTACTAATAAAATAGATACTATATATTCTATTCTAAAAATATAGATTAGATAACTAAAGCTAGAATTTATAAAAGTTTATTTTAATTATAGTAAAGAGTTTTTTTCTTAATAATAAGATTTTAATAGAATATTATCTTTAGAAAAGCTAATACTATAATAAATTTAACTAATAATAAAAGTAAGTATATAATCTTTTTTTTTCTAAAAGCTTTTAGATAGTATAAATCTAAAAAAAATACTTAAAATATCTAAATTATACTATTTTAAAGAGATTTTAATACTCTAGTACATAAGAAATAACTATTTTATTAACTAGTATTAATATAAAAATTGTTTATATAGAGTATTTATATACTATCTATATACTTTTATTATTAGTATAGTTATTATTATTTAATATAATAAAATTATAAGAAAAAAATCTACTACTTTTTCTAGGTGTGTAAATAAAGTCTATAGTATATATTATATAGTATTAAGTAATTAAGTAATAATATAACTTTTAATTATAATCTATAATATTAAACTATACTTAAACTAAATAATTCTCTAATATAAGCTTAGACTTATTTCTTATAATTCTATAACTCTAATACTTATACTACTAGAATAATAATTATTATTAACGTTATAGTATTATACTAACTATACTATAGTTATAATAGAATAGTAATAGCTACCTAGACTATAAACTAGTATAAAAGCTTACTTTATATTACTACTACTACTAAAAGGTAATTAGTAAAGTCTAATACTAGTATAAAGTATCTTAAAGATTCTAAATTATTTATACAAAGCTTATATAATTATAAGTAATTAAATTCTTATTTAAGAAATTTCTAGATCTAGCTATATTAGTTACTATAATAAAAAACTACTATAACTACTTTCTATATATACTATTACTTAGTTATTCTGTTTTTTTCTACTAGTTATATTATTAAATATGCTAGAACAAAAATATATGTATAATGTAGTAAAGTAATATAGTAAGTTATTATAATATAGATATACTTTCTAATTACTTTATTTAATAGTATATAGTTTTAAGTTTTTTAAAAGATTTTAGAGACTAAAATAAAATAATAGAGTTTAATACTCTTAAACCTTATATAAGAGTATAAAGATAGAACCTTTAAATACTAAAAAGCTTTTTTATTCTTTATAGTAAATAAATTAATTTAGAATAATAATTTTCTTAGTAAACTAGTAATCTTATAGCTAATAAGCTAATTCTTAAGTATAAGGCTAATTACTAGTATAGTAAAATATTAAAAATAATAGAGAGTAGTAATAATTACGTAACTATAGATATATAATTACTTAACTCTTAGATATATAGCTAAAAGTTTTATTCTAACTTTCTAGAGAAGTAATAAGTTATAATATACTAAATAATTACTATTTATCTATTCTTTATTTAGCTCTAATAGTTATAAGCTTAATAACTTAAAAATAGAATAATTTTCTTTTTTATTTTAAAAAATTACTAGAAAATAAAGAAATTATATTTTCTATACCTTAATCTTTCTAATACTGTTTAATTAGAACTTTTATAAAACTCTAATCTTACTACTAACTTCTTTACTAATTTTTATATCTTTATCTATTCTTATATCTTAACTTACTTAATTATAATACTAGATCTATAGATATAAGTGTCTATAATATAGTATTTATAGCTAGAGATATACATCTTAAAAAGTGCAGAAATTAGTATACTTAGTTTACTTTTTAGTAGTACTAAAATAGAAAAGATATTTAGAAAAATATTAATTCTAATTTTTAAGATATTATATATATAGACTTTTATAAAATTAAGTTTTTTAATATTTTTATTTAAAAGCTTAAAAAGCTAGCTTATTCTATAAAGAGCTTAAGTAAAAAGTAATAAAATAAATATAATAAAGCTATCTGTAGATATAACGCTTTTATATAAGATTATAACTTTAAAATATTAAATAGTACTACTTTAATAGCTTACTAGGTCTAGAAGTTTAAGAAATAGCTTAAAAAGACTAAAATACTTAATTATATTTAAAACTAGATTCTACGCACTATTACGCCTAAGTACCTTTGTTTTATAACTATATATAATAATAAAAAAATAGTCTAGTTTCTTATTAAAGCTTTTATAATAATATTAATTCTAAATAATTAGACTATATAGTATATAGTCTCTATAAAGTATTATATATATTCTAAGAAACTTTAAAAAGATTTACTAAAAAGTAGTTTAATAACTAGTAAAGAATTTACTAAAAGATTAAATATTTTATACTCTTATAAGTTTAAACACTTTTTATAATTACTAACTTTATTATAGTAAATATTAAATTCTATTCTAATAAAGCTTACTAGTAGTAGTGTAATTAGTAATTTACTATAGCGCTTAAAAAGAATATATTTAGCTTTAGTAATTTTAGAAAAATCTTTAGTAATATTTTTTAAGAGATATTAATTACTTCTTAAAAGAGTAAAGCTAATATAATCTTTAATACTAATATAAGTTAACTTTTAACTTTTTCTAAGTTAAGTAAAAAATAGATAAGCTTAATATATAAATTCTACTCTTATAAGTTTTATATAAAGTATAAATTAAAGCTAATTATCTATAAATAATTATAAACTATAAATATAGAATCTAAACTAATAAATATTATATTTAGTAGGCTTTCTACTTAAGATAAGTAAAATACCTAATAGTATAATTATAAAAAGAAGTATAGTAGCTTATATAAAAATGTTAAGTAATTAAACTTAAAATTAGTATACTAACTACTAAGTATATTAATAATATAGTTTAAAGTAGTTTTACTTTAAAAACCTAATTTCTAAGTTTTAATCTTTTTATCTTTTATATAAACTTTAAACTTTATATACTTTTAGCTAGTATAAATTTTAATAGTAAAGCTATAGTTACTCTAGTTAGTTATAAAGCATTAATAAGTCTAATTTTATTACTAAGATTAAAGGTAAGATAGTAAAAGCTAGTAGCTAGAGAGTTTTAGTAAATAGTATTAGTAATAATATTATCTATTTTATACTTAATACTTTTAAAAAGCCTAAGTAAGCTAAATTTAATTTACTAGTATTAAGATTATCTATAGTTTCTATACTAATATTATTTTAGAAAAGCTTTTTAGAGATAGTAGTATATTATATATTTATTAGTAAACTAATAGTTCTATAGCCTATAAACTAGTTCTAAAAAGTAAGGTCTATTACTAGTATACTAAAGAATATATAACTAAAGGTTTTAGTACTCTAAAAATAGATAAGTCTTAGCTTAGAGCCTTAGTGCTACTACCTTTAAAGTAGTTAAAGCTTTTAAATTTAGGCTAGCTATAGAGCTATCTTAATACTAAAGTACTTTATAAGTAAATTTTAATACTAATCTTTAAAAGAATTATAATATAATTATATACGCTTATTAGCTTATAGATAATAAAGTAATATATTTTAAAAGTTTATAGTTAGAATATATATACTAAAATCTTAGTAGAAGTACGCTTCTTCTATTCTTTTAATTTCTATAACTTTTAAAACTCTAAAAATATATTAAAAATACTAATAGTAACTTAAAGCTAATACTAAAAGCTACGCTATCTAAATAACTTTTTTATAAGTCTCTAAGGTAATTATAAGTCTAGAACTAATTTTATTACTAGTTACGTTACGCTACTTTACTAATACTTAACTAAATTATTTTATTATTAATCTACTTTAATTACTTACCTTT